TTATAAAGGCAAGAGCAATCTTCTCCCCTGCAGTGGATATTCAGAGGATACTCTGAATAGCAGGGTTGCTCCCTGTTAAGTCAGAGGAAGCATTTCAGCCTTGGAAGAGGAAGGCAGAGACCTGATCCTTACCCTGCCCCATGGACAACCACACTGGCTGGCCTCCAAGCTTGGAAAAACCAAACTCTTTCCATGGGGACATCTTGGTGGAAGGAAAGGAAGTTGACTAGACACATCAGCCTCTTCGAGTATTGTTCCCGCCCCAAATGGAAGCACTGCCATTCGACTGCCCAAATAGCCCATCTAGCAAAAAGAACCCAAGCAACTGGAGGACAAAGAGGTGAAAACAACCTTCACCCATCCTCCTGTCCTGACAGCTTCAGCCTAGCAGGGCCCTGGGTACACCAAGGCTTCTATCTCCACAGGAATGTACCCTGAGCTACTGACGCTTCACAACGTCCTGTAGGAGTGGAATCCATAACCTAGCATCACATTATGCGCACAAAACTAAAAAGCAGAAGTCCCCTTCCTAGGGACAGCCTGCTGCCAGGAGGAGATGGACAGAAATTGAAAACCCCATGAGACCAGTATTTGCAAATGAACACGGGACTGAACCACCCCCTGAATTCACACACATGCAGGTAGCTGCTCTCCTGCTTTACATTTCTGGCCATGAAGGATAACAAAGATGTGGATTATTTGTACTCAGTAGAATTTGCCAAGTGCTCGACATTCTAGGTTGAGTTCTGAATAGTTGTGGGGGGGGGGGGTCACTGAAAAATAGTTTTCTCTTCTAATTAATCATAGAATAGTAGAGTTGGAAGGGGGCTATAAGGCCATGGAAGGCAATGCAGGACTCCCGGTCAAGCCACCCCTCTTGGATGGCTGTCCAGCCACATCTGGGTGCCTCTAGTGTGGGAGAACCCACAACCTCCCTAGGTCATGGGTTGCATTGTCATATTGCTATAACAGTCAGGAATTTTTTCTGCTCTTCAGCTGAAATCTGGCTTCCTGCAGCTTGAGCCTGTTATTCCATGACCTGCACTCTGGGATGATCGAGAAGTACTCAAGTACTTTTAAGTACTCAAAGAATCCTATTGCATCTCCCCTCAGTCTTCCCTTCTCAAGGATAAACATCCCAATTCTTTTCGTCTCTCCTCACAGGGCTTTGTTTCCAGGCCCTCCTCTGAACCCTTTCCAGTTTGTCTGCATCTTTTTTAAACTGTGCTGTCCAGAATTGGATCCAATACTCTGGATGGGGCCTAACCAGTTTGAATAGAGAGGAACTTCATGAGATATGGAAGTGATACTTCTATTAATGCATCCCAAAATAGCATTTTATATAGCCACACTACACTGTTGACTCTTATTCGGCTTGTGAGTCCAATTTCAAGTGTCAGCTCAGTTAACAGTGAATGTAGCTATATTGTACATTTATACAGATGGACCCAAGGAAGCAATGGGCTAAGAAAGGATTGCTAGAACAAGTAAGAGCTTGGCCTCCCATAGCTGTTGCTTCCTTTGGTCCGTGCATATGCATTTTGTGGGTTGAGTGAAAAGAGCCTCCCAGATTTTGCTTTCTGGATTCCTTCTTAGAAGAGAAAGATGCCTCCCAAAGCAAGGTTGCCAACTTTTCTTGTGAGTCTTAGCAGGTGATAATATTTCTTTCCTGGATGCCAAAAGCTTCACCCACCAATTCCTGCTGCAGATTCTTTATTTATGTGTCCTGCTTATTAGCCACTCCATAGCGAAGGTTTTGTGGCCGAACGAATCAAAATAAATTACAATCACACACTCATGAAAATTGGTAGATCACAAATAAGGGAAGACAAATCTGATAACAGCACAAGGGTAGAGCATGGCAACCAGCAGCAGATGAAAACAAACGCAACCATAAATCTAAAATTAGACAACCAGAACCCACAAAGCATCATCATCAGGCTAAAGAAGCATTAGAACACCATTGTGAGTGGGAGGACTCCACCTGTCAAGACTCCGCCTGATCCATCCTACGGCCTCCAGTCTGCAGTTAGGGAACTTGTGAATGCTGAGCCCTTACCCTGCCCCCTTGCAGCCTTGAAGTTGCAAATGCACCTTGGAGGGAAGGAATGAAAGGGGGCAAGGTGGAGGGAAGGAAGCTGGAGGAGGCTGAAGACTTACACCCCTTTCCATTACCCCCTCCTCTTTCCTTCCCCTTTCCCAACACTTAATCTAGATGTGTCAAGCAGCCATCTAAATCAACATCACAGTACAAGGAATGGAAGTGGCCTTATGCAGGACATTGAGGGTGGGCATTTAGGATTGTGCCCTGATTGTGCCCTGAAAAACTTTTGTTGAGAGCTCGGTTTCCCCCGATTCATTTCGAGTATTCAAACCCCAAGACAGTCTCTTTGCAATTAGCTCATTCTTTTCAAAGCACAGCTAGCAAGCCACGGCAATGGAAAGACTAGTCTCTGTGCATGAACAGAGGAGGTAGTTGACTGCAAAGTCAAAACTAATTCCAAAAACCTTCCTTTTCAGTCATCTGCTCTGAGGGGGTCCCTCTCACCATCCTCATCCGATGCGTTGGTGCCGCCCTACCCTTGGAAAGCACGCCAAGCGCAATTGTCTTTAACGTCTTTAAACCAATTTCCATGACATTTTAAAATTCCTTCAAAATTAAAACTAGTCTTCAGCGGCTGCCAAAACATACGATCAAATAGGCAGCAGGCACGCAAGCCTTTCTATGTCAAATGCACGGCCAAACTTCACAGTGAAGAGCGGGTGATATCCAATAAACCATTTCTGCTGATGGAACAGCTTCCATCCATGGAATGGAGAAGGGGACCCCCTACAACCCCCTACGGCGTCCCATTTCTGCCCCAGAGTCACACAATGCTCTTGAATGGACTTGGAGTGCAAGGACTACAGTGGGGAGGAGAGGGGAGGAATGTATCATTGTGCCAGTGCAACTCACAACTGGAACTTGCACAATTGGAAACACTGCTCCTAAAAGGATCTGCAGACCCCGTGAATGCTGAAAGGCCACTGTCCACACCTGTCAAGGAGTCCCCATGCCTCTTCTTACACCTCCATAAGGTGCATCTGTCTGACCCTTTGAAAGTCAGCAAAACAATTACTGAACCAAACAAGAGGTTCCTTTAGATCTGGAATTCCTTAAAAAAGTGACATTTCACTGTTTCAAAACAAGTTAAGCCTTAAACCAGAAAGCTTAGAATACTGTCTGCATTGTGTACTTGAGGAAATGTTCATATCTAAAAAGAGAGGCACCACACCCTTCTGGGAACTTGACATCAAAGTGAATGGATCTTTGTTTCAGCTCTTCATGCTCTTCAGCCTTCAGGAACTAACAGCACAAAAGAAGTGGACTGATCTATCCATGATTTTCCTGCACCCAAGGTATGACTGGGTAAAGAATCTTTCCCAGCCCCCCTTAGTTAATATCTGAGGAACAGGAAATTTGGGTTGGGGGCAGTTACAGAGAAAAGAGGCAAGATAAATACATCTCCAAAACTACCTTCCCCAAGCCTAGGACCACCAAGGAAATAGCTGGCCACAACCTGCATTTGATTGATTGCAACTGTTTCAGAGAGGGGGAAAAGTGAATAATCAAGACCAGCACAGAAAGACACCGTTATTCAACAGCTAGTCTGGCTTAACTAGTCTCCTGATAGGGTCTGTGCCCTCAGACACTCCGGCTGATAGCAGGTGGCCTCAGTCGTACAGTCGCATCCTGCTCTCCATCTGCCATTTGATAGGTGTCGGGTCAAAGGAATGAGACTGTTAAAAAGAACGCAGAAGCACCACAGACACAAATGCTATGCTAAACCTGTCTGTGTTTGAACTGATGTCGCATTCCTGAGCTCCAAATCAAGACGCAACAGACAACGAGCAGAAAAGAGGTGCATGTACAATACGGTCATTTCAAGCATCCACCATACGCAAACATTAACAGCAATTAGCCCTTCTGAATCCCATTAAGCTTCCTTCTGAGCACCCATGTATAGGACTGCCCAGTGAAACAGTTCTTCCACTTCATTAACCTTGCTCAGTGGATGCCTGGCAAAACAGCTTTAAGGGCTGTGAAAGCGGCATGTCATGTTTGTGAACACTTGGTGGGGGTGGAGAAGTGTTTAGAGGCACCAGAGCATCCTCTGCCCTCCCACCTTCTAAATTCTGCTTCCAACAGACCATTTTTAAAACCCCAGATCACACCAGAAATCACATCTGTCACCAACACTACCGAATATGAGAACAGAGCGAGAGAGGACAGCGAGAGGTCGACTGCCCACTAGGCGGTGGTGCAAAAGACAAAGTTGTTGGACTTAAACTAGAAAGACCTAACATGAATCCCCTGGGAAGACTCTGGGCAGGTTGCTACTTCTCAGACTGACCTACCACATGGGGTATCATGAGAATAAGATGGGGCTGTGCCCTTGCTTGAGCTCTGCGGAGGACGAGTAGAATAAAAATGGGGTAGTTCAACTTTCTCAAACTGGTGCTCTCCAGACATGTTGGACTGAAGGGGGTTGGATGGATGCTAGCTGTGGCTGATGGGAGTGGTGGTCCAACACCACAGTCCTCTTCCACTGGAGTCTGGTCTGGATGACTCATCACCCCACCTGAATTTTGAGAGGGCTTCGATTTGAGAGGACCCACCACCGGCATGGCAAAAAACAACTTTTCTGTACCTTTCTTCCAAAGGTCCCATCTCCCCCCCCCCCCCGTGAACTCCTTAACCAGAGTCAGAGAGAGCAATGCTACAGAACTCCAGATATTCAGAACGGTAATTCCTCTCATGTTGAACAGGATTACGATAGCCACAGAACATCCCTGCTGGGGTACGACTGTCCTGCCAAGGGAAACGTTATTTCTTTTCCTCTTGGCGGTGCATTGCTGGATCAGACTAGCCCTGTCGTGTAAGAGATGGAGAAAGTCACACAGAAGCCCCCACCCAAGGTATCTCCCCCGGACAGAGAGAACAAACCCACAGGAAGTACCTGGTTGATGGAGGTCACCACCTGCCTGGGGATGACGATTTGCATGACCAGCTGCAGGAGGGACGTGACTAAACCAGCCAAGATGGCCCAGGTGAGCGGCAGTGGCAGCATGCTGTAGGTGGCGAAGAGGGTGAAGAGCACGTAGCCAATGCCGTCCCCGAGGAGCCCACAGCCCAGGCCGGCAGCCAAGATCTGAGTGGCCATGGCTACCCAGGTGACCACCCCACTGTACTGCAGGTAGGTGTAAGAGGTCGTGTCCTTCCTGACCACCACTAAGGCACAGATGACCACCTCGATGCCCGTGAAGAAGCCCAGCAGGATGCCCTTGATGGGGTCCATGGGGGCCGAGGCCAAGGTGAGGTGGAGCAGCAGCAGGGTCAGCTTGGTCAGCACGTCCAGGATGCTCACCACCACCTGTGATTTGCGCCGCTGGCCCAGGAAGTAGCGCTGGTAGAGGCGCTCCAGGTCCCGGGACTTGAAGGAGTTGCGCAAGGTGGGGAATATCACGCCCCGGTAGGTGTAGCCCCAGTTGAGGAAGAAGTCCGAGTTGCTGGGAGCACAGTCCAGATGCAGGAAGCCCAAATCCCCGCTGCTGCTGGTGCGTTCCGGGAAGACTTTGGTTCCCCCATTGTTGTGGCCGCCGAGGCTCTTGCCTGCCGACTGGCGCCGGGGGTGATGGGAGTGGTTGGGGCAGCAGGAGTCCTCGGAGCCCAGCGCTTTGCCTCCGCTGTGCTCCTGGATGAAGCGCTGCTCGGTGATATGGCGCACGGCAGTCTGCCACAGCAGGCGCTGGGAACGTGCCCCACCACTAGGGGGCGTCTGGTTGATGGTGTACAACTCATCACTGTCACTCAAGCAGCGCACCTCAGACAGCTCCATGGCGGGGGTGGGGGCAGAAGCAGGGGAGGGTGTCTCACATTGAAAGGCTGCTGCGCTCCCCCCTACCCTCCTTGGCAGGGGGATTGAGGGTCAGTCTGTTATTGCTGAGGAAGGGGGTCGCCCCATGCCTTCTTGGGCACTGGATGGTCCTTTGCACAGGTGGCCAGCTTTGGATGGCGCTTTCCCATCTGCCCCTCCAGGTATCAGAGTCGTGGGGTGTGGGAGAGAAGAGACCCTTTGCAGACGAGCAGTATGAAGTCCAGCTAAGTGTAGTCACAGCCCAACGCTTCCCAGTCCCCTCTGCTTGATGCTGCAAAGTGCAAAGAGAAAGACCAAGAGGGCCCCAGGTAAGGGCAGTTTGCTGGTACCCATCCTTGCTTCAGAACATGCCAGCCCCCCGTCCTCCTAGGCCAGTGCCGTCTCCACTAAGGACAGCTTTGTAGAGTCTCAGCAGGCATTTTCCTGATCTGCTGCAGCAGGAAATCCTGGGGACCAAAGAGGCTTCCACCTGAAAGTCGGACTTGCTGAATGCAAAGCATGTGGTCCACAACTGACCCCTTGGAGAGGGATGGAGAGGGGGAGAGAAGTGCAGCGAAAAGGGACACCCTGCCTGGCTGCAGTTCTATATATAGTGACAGAGATCAATTTTTGATATATGGAGAGAGAAGATTATAGTTACAGCAACAAGAACAGCATGCAACTTCTTAAGAGCAGGAAGGCGAGGGGCCCGGGAAAGGAGGGGAGACGAAAATTTGCTGATTTCACCCACAGCCACCGAAATCTGTACAGATGCAGCCGGGAGGGCTTAGAGGCGATCGCTGGTTTGCTATAATCCCCGGAGCAGTCGTCTGTTCGCAGCAGCCATCCGTGCAGTAGGACACGGCTTGGGGCGAAGGAAATAAGGGGGATGAAAACCCGAGCAGGGCGCGTCGGAGCTTCCGTCACTCCTGAAACTGACAAGGCTGCCGATGGTCCGGGCGGAAGGCGAGAAGTGAGCCCGACAAGGTCAATGAAGCTGGCGAAGGCTCCGGCTGGCCAGGCGCGTCTTTGCGAGGGTGCGCGGAGTACAGTCCTGCGAGCAAAACCCTCCGGAGCCGGGCAAGAAGAGGGAAAGAGTTTTCCTTTTCTTTCTCGCGATCGGGGACTTGCAGCGATACATGGCCGGCCTGGGGGGAGTGGGGGGGGGGAGCAAGGAGGGGCGGCGTGCAGCCGATCAGGTCTCGCCTACCTCCGCTTTCCCCGCAGAAGAGGCTGGTCTGGGGCTGGCAGCGGAATCCATCGCTGGGCGCTGGAAGCACGACGCGATCCGATTAGACGGTCCTCCTGCTGGCGGCAGCTCCCAGACCCGCCGCCGCCGCCGCGGCTCGGCTCGGAAGCGACTTTTCTTTCGGTCTTTCCTTCCTGGGAAAGGACGACCCCCGCGACCCTAAGCGGGGCCTCTGACTTCAGAGGCCCCCGTCCTCCTCCTCCTCCGGCAGGGCGCGCGTTTGATGCAAGGACTCCGCAACAAAACCGACACGCGGGGCGGGGGACGCGGGAGGCGACGCTCACACGCGCCCTGCGGAGCCGCTGCCCGGGCGGGCGGGCCGGCTGGCGTTGGGGCGGCCGAGGAGTGGGGGGGCTCTCACCCCCCGAAAGTTGCGGCCGGCCGCGCGCTGCTCCGCACGCCGCCCGCTCGCCCCCGTCTCCGCGCGCCGGCGGGTCGCGGGGGGCGGGCAGGCGGGCATTCGCGGCGCCCCTCGCCTCGGCTCCGATGCCCGCCGCCCGAGGCGCGCAGTGGGCGCAAGCTCGAGGCGGGGCGGCGGAGCCCGGCGGGCGGGCGGGCGAGCGCCGGGGCTGAAGGTCCGCGCGGCTGGCGCCTCTCCGGGGAAAGGCACCAGAACCGAGCTCGGTCAGCTGATGGGCCAGTGACGTCAGCAGCGACTGCGCCCGCTCTCCTTTGCGCCGCTCAAAGCAGCGCCGCTTCTCCGCCCTCCGCGGCGCTGCCCCCGGATGGCCCCTGGCCAGAGCTCCCGCTGCGGCGCCGCGCGCCCCCGTCCCGCGGCTCCGCGTCCATCCCTCGCCCTGCCGGCTGCAGCTGATCGGACTTGCAGTCCAAACGCTCCGGGGGGCGGCCAAGCCAAGGCGGTGTTGCTCAGGAGTAAATGCGCCCAAGGAGGGAGTGCGATTGCACCAGACCCGGAGCAAAGGCGCCCCAGCGATCTCGGAGTCTCTGCCCGCACGGGGATTCCTAAACAGGCACGGACGCGCGCACACGCCAAACTTCAGAGCGCGCGCCTGGGAGCTCATAGGAACAACAGGCTTGTTATTCACCTGCGTTTCGCTTGCCCTCCTTAACCTCGGGCTCAAGGGGAGCTAGCGCGGCGCCCACATGAAAGAGCCTGCGCGGTTCCTTCGTGGGACGGCAAGCGCTTCTGGACGCCCTTGGCGGCCCTTCCTCGCCCCCTCGGTGGACCGATTCTCCCTGGCACCGTGGCGAGCAGGCAGGGCGGCCGAGTGCCCCGCGCTCCTTCGTTTTGCGCTGGCTGCGAGCCTTCGGGGCTCCGGGCTGTACCCGCCACTAAGGGAGGCGGGCGGGCGGGCGGGGCCCCTCTCGCTTCTGGCCCACGGCGGTCTCTTCCCTCTTATGGGAGGCCAGAGCCTTGTGAGCGGAAGAATGTGGATGGCGTCTAAAAGGTGAGAGGACGGCCTGCGGCTGGAGCCCCAGAGCCTTCCTTCGGAGTAGCGGATCTTTATCCGGAGCTCAAGCACCCTCCTGCGCCCCCCCCCCCCCCCGTGCACCCGATTCCCCCAGGAGGAGCGGGCTTGTTGCCCACACCCCCTCTGCCCTCGCTTGAATCTCTCCACCTCGAGGGTATTGTTCGTCCTGAATTCAAACGCCTTCCTCTCTCCTTCCCATACACCCCTTTTTACAAATCTCCACTTATGTGCTTAGACGACAGGTCCTATTAAAGGCAGAGAGAGGCAGAAAAAGAGAGCGAGGCTTGAGAGAATAGGCAAATCAGGCATGCTCTCTGGGCCTGAACCCCGGTTCCTTTTGGTATCTAGTACTATCCCTGCCTCCAGGACCTACCACCACAACGACCACAGGTGCTCGCGCTCGCTCTCTCTCTCTCTCTCTCTCTCTCTCTCTCTCTCTCTCTCTCTCTCTCATATTCTCTGGATGGTGCAGGGGAGTGGATGGGTTTTGCTGGGTCCAGGAATTGTTTCCAGCTGCAGAAGAATCCAGGGCTTCCCCCCAACCCCACTTCCCAATGTGTGAACACCTTTCAGGATGTATCTAATAAAATGGAAGCAATAACAAAGAGGAAAGTTCATATTCTGAATTGCATACAATTCCTCAGTCAAGTTATTTGTTTGTTTTTTTTTAACCACTGCACAAAATGTCCCTTGGTTCCCAGTTAAAAAGCAAAATATCTGCACCACTGTTCTTCGTACTCATTCATTGAAGGGTTTCTGGTCTGGCTGGCTGGCTTTCTCTCTAAGTTTCCAAAGTGGTTTACAAATCAAACAAAAACCTGTATTACCATTCAAACTGGGTATTTCCATATAAAGAATTGTAGCCAACCTTGGTTCTACTTAAAGTAGGCCCATTGAAATGAATGGGATTTACATTAGACTGCGATCATATATGCTTCTTGTTTTCTTCACCTGCCACCATTGCCAGGAAGCTGCTTGGAGCTGTTGATTTTTTTTTCTTTTCTCTTGAAACATGCATCAGATCGCACCAGTCAAGGTTTTCACTGTGGGGCCATCCTTCCTCATTCACAGAAGTGTATAGGGGGACACGAAATACTTCCAGATGGAGCCACAGCTGCTAAAGTTATAAATTAGGGGGCATTCTGCAACAATTCTTTTCCCCTTAATATATATATATATATTTTTTTTTGCAGAGGAGGAGGAGGAGGAGAGAGAGAGAGAGAGAGAAGATTGAAGAAGCAGTGGGAAAACACAGGAGAACACAGGATGGCTATGAGTCAAACAAGCCCTTGTCCACATACCTGTTAAATTCAGTGTATGAAGCCAGGTGATGATGCTCTGGAAAGCTTTATCCAGAAGCACTCTAAATGAGGTTGTTTCCTATTCTTAACCCCCACCCATGTTCATGTTCATGTCCATGTTCATCGCTTCTGTCTTTTTTGCTACTGGGGGTAGAGGGAGAATTCTGCTAAGGAGGAATGGCCAAAATGACAGCATGCATTTTTATTGCTAGAACTAGAGGACCTCTCTCTGGAACCACCATCAGATCAGCTCTCTTTTTCTATAGATGAAGAAATCCTGCTATGCTGGAGCGTGTGAAAATGCCTCATTTTTACGTCTCATTTAAACATAAGTCTCAATTTTAAGCTTGGAACTAAGCTGTTGTTTTGCTGGGGCTATGTGCATTTTTCACAAGTGATGCTTAAATAAGCATTTTGTTCTTCTCTCTTTGTATTTGCCAGGTCTGTAATTTGCAAGCAAAACCCATCGGCTAGAACATATTCCTGGGACTCGACAATGGCTCTCCTCTGCCTTCTAACCTGCATTTTTCCAAGTGACACATTGTAAAGGCATTCTGATCTTCATGTCACTTGTGAAAATGCCATGAGAGATCATGATGCCCAGCTATCAGCACAAAAACAGTTTTGTAGCAGAGCAGAGATGCTTAAGTGGAGACCGTGCACAAATTTAGGCACTGCAAGAGGAATTTAGCAGACAGAATGCAGTGAAAGGGCTCAGTGGCGGAAGCGGTTTGGAGTCTGATTGCTGCTTTGCTATGTCCTCGAGGCAGAACCTCTTAATGCCCTTAGGGTCATGTGTGGTACAGACTGACCCTCTCCTCCAATATCTGGCAGCAGCATCCTTCAGAGGAAAGGATGGAGAAAGGATGTACCCAGCATTTCCCAGTGACAGATGCAGCTGACAGGTTCCAAGGTCCTCAGAAGTGTACCCATTATCCAGAAGACACAGTTGCATCCCTGAATCTGGGCAAGATGAGAAAGACGAAGTCTGCCTATATC